ATTTTTCTATGTGACCCTTTTTTTTAAATATATAGAAAAAAAAGGATAAACAGCACAGAAGAATAACGATTTTGGGTGTTCTTTAAAGTAATTGTATTTAATTTTATTTTGGGACATACAAATATCTTCTAAAGGAATTATGATAATAATATTAAAATGAAGGGATTCGTATCCTAGAAATAGTAGATATGCTCCTTAAGTTTTCTGAAATCGTTAAAAAATCTAATATAATTATTATGTGCCTAACTGACTTCTAGAAAAGCAGCACAACAAATATCAAAATAATCAAGTTCTTTTAGCTAAGCAATACATTCTTGTTTCTTGTATATGAGTTTCCCTTCTTGCCGTGATTGTGATTGTTGTTTTGATCAATGTTTGTGCCTTTTTGTTATTCCATTTCGACTTATTCGGGCTTGCACCATCAACTAGATTAATAGGATCGGAGTGTTTACAGGATTAGGCTTTTTAAACTTTTATTAGAAAGACAGCGCATCACGGAATCCAAACGACTTCCTTTTTGTATCGGATGTTTAGAAAATCTGCCCATTCTGTATTTTATATTTGAAAATAAAAAATCGGTTGTCTGTAAAGTCGGTTTACTGACGATAGTTGAACGTGACAACGTCATAAGAAAATACTGATTAAATGGTTTCATTTTTCAAAAGAAAATTTTAATTTTATTTGTTTGATAGATATTTTGTATGGATATAGAGAAGGAGGTAAATGGAAATGTATTACTGTATAGCAGCTGTCCACGCGGACGCATAGCTCACTCAAGTAGGAGAGAGACAGATGTCGAACGCTGCCGAACGCGGAGGCCGATTGTGCCTCTTTGTCGCTCGTTCCGCGCTCTCGCTTGCACTTCAAGCCTTAAATGGAACGCCTCAGACCGAGGTAACGCCGCATGAGTCATGTTTTTTCGTGCGTGCAGCCTGCTCTATCGAATTATAAGACGTTGTCACGTCAAAAAAAACTTTTGGGTGCTTCACTCCCATCAGCCACTTATGCTGGTAGGCGGGCAGTCATTCCGGATTATGCCGGGATGAGCGCCACCCGGAAGGTAGGGCGGAAGGCCCTCTTCAGCCTCCTTTCAGGAATCGTGGGAATGGGTGGGTGGTGGTTAGGGTGAGAAAGAAGAGACGGACGAAATGAAGTAGAGAATGAAAGATTGTGTGTGGAATATTCCTGACCCAGCATTTATCTAAGTGATCCAAAGAAACCACAAAAAAACTTGGACCAAAGCAGACGAACCCGGAATCGAACAATTTTATATTTCGTACAAAAAAATGAGACCGCTTCATTTTTTACGTCTTCGAGGTATATTAAATACTTCATAATAAATACTTATCACGCCTTGTTCTATGATTAGGTGAAAATATTAAGAGACACCTAGATACATTTAAAATAATTTGATTGATGTGTATGAATATTTATTATCTTATAAAATTCAATGGTTAACAGCAACTTAAATACTTATACAATATAGGTATATATCTAAGTACCTATAACATAACTGTGATATGTAACAGTGTGACCAACAAACATCTACAATGTTATCAGAAATAGCCGATTTAGCACCAACTTGTGCCACTTATGACTAATCATATCCATAAAAAATTAACGTGATATCTATCCAAGCCTTCCGTGAGTGAAAGTAAAGTAGTTATACATATTTACGGTCAAATAGCACCTACGGCAAAATGCTGTTGGAATATCATTAGAGTTGACATATGTAATATTTAATGAGGAGCAATATGTAATATTACATCAACGAAATGTTTCCACGTTTTGACACAAGAAGTAGAAATGGATATCCATTAAATAATAGTTTAGTGATGCGTTTTACGATCCAGAAATTTATTAGAGAGATAGAATCTATTCGCAATACATAGACACGTTCTTAATTTTATCAGCTAACAGATAATTATAAAAAATTAAAGCAGTAATCATCATCAGTCATAAAACTGGTTGGACACGCACCTCCACTTTTTCCTAATTGAGCTAATATTCGCAATTTCCGAAAACTATTTAGAATATTCCACATCATTAACTACTTGTGGACAGCAATCGAATCTAGGGCGACCTCTACTCCTTTTAACTCCTGTTTCTGCCTCTAATATGTCTCTAACTAGCCTTCTCTCCAAGCTATCCTCATCACTGCTTACTAGTCTTTGTCAAAATTGTTAAAATTTAAAAAATTGCTCCAGTGCTAGTCAACGTTTAAATCAAAATCGCGTGACAGGTTACAAGTAACGTTTGATGAAGCAGGAAGGAATTGCGAAGTGTCGGATAGGGTTAAAAAAAAGGAAAAGTCATAGAGACGATTGAGAAACAGGAAGAGCCTATCTAATCCATAAATTCGTTAATCAATCCAATAAATAACTGTGTATAAAGTAAAAAATATCATTATCAATTATTTCATTAGCCCCACTATGCTGAATCTTCAAGCAGGGATTGTCCCAACGATCACCATCTTGTGCACTTGAAGTCAGATCAGGCATTTTATTTTGGGTTTATTATATTTTGTTTTATTTTTCTTTTGTTACAAGCCGGATTACTCTCACTTCACTCAAGCAGAATTAGTTAATGTTCAGCGTTGTTAAACCTTCTAGAAAACACCCTAAAACATTCTCGAACCCTGTAGATAGGGGGGCATATCTCGGAACTCAATACTATTGCTGACTCCCTATATGGAGTCCTTTGGAGCAATAGCCTTTTAACCCCTATATTTTTGAAACCAACCCCTGCAGCTGAAAATATAAACCTTCTTAATGAATGGGGGGGGGCTAGAAAGAAAGCTATCGTACCATGTAATCCTTATGAGGGTTGCGGAATTCCGATGATAAGTTTTATCGGCACGTACGGACCAACTAAACTTACTCAATTAATTACTTCTACCCTTAGTTCTAATGAAAACAAGCCAATAAAGACATTATTACCATCTTTGTGACTTAAATCATTTGTTCAAACTACATTTACTTTTATTATATACTAGTGACCCGCCCCAGCTTCGCACGGATGCAATGCTGATACTAAATATATTTTTGTTTTGTTTAGATTATTATTGAAAAGGGGAAATCTTCAAAAAATACCCCCTGAACATACTAAATATACTACAGAATGTCTTTATATACAACATTCACA